TAGGGTTGCCACCTGTCCGGGTTTGACCCGGAGACTCCGGGATTGAGTGAGTTATCTCCGGGCTCCGGGGTTAATTAATATTTCTCCGGGTTGTGCAAGTTGAAATGAATATGTACAAAATTATATGCAAACCGTCGCATATATTTCTTCCCCCATGTACCGAATTACTAGTGTGGTAGTCGTTGGCATTAGGCGCAGTGCTGCTTTTTTTTTGCTTGTACGATTCATTCGTAATCATATACACCTTCAATATCCAATAGAGCTAGGTCACTTGCGTTACTCCTATCCAAGTCTCCCTAGTAGCTAACTGTAACTGATTTAGAACCGGCATGCACTGCAAATTATTCTTCGCATTGCAAAATGACATTGCGCATGCGTCAGGAACTTCTGTTCGAACAAACCTCACCTGCCTTCCTGGTCAGCGATTTTGAAAAGATGGCAACTCTACCCACGGATAGCTCTTCACAACTACAACAGTTATCTTATGAAAGGGTTTATCACACCAAGTGAAAAATCTCTGTAGTAATATAAATCAAATACTATGATATAGCAAATATTAAAAGGAAAATCATATAAAGAGTTTCGTTCTTGCAGGCTACAATTGTAATATTTATCGCAATACTATAAACACAATTTCATTGGTCAAGTAGACACCAGTTAAAATCGAAACAATTAAAAATTAAAGAACAATTAAACCAATTAAAAATTAGAAAACATTAAATAAAATACGAAATTTAAGATATCGTATTTTATTTAATGTTTTCTAATGTTAGCACAAACAGTTTTATTCACAGCCGAATATCAAATGGTAATCTGCCAACGAATCAAATTCCGCGAAAAACGGACCAAACACTTAAACTCGGCACCCTCAAAAATCACTTAAATCATATTTTGTGCTGTCCAGTAATTTCGTATTCTGTAATTTTCCTATTCGAATGCCACCATACCGGTGGGTCCGATAGGAAGAAAGGCTGTTGCAGATGGAGGTTGAAGCTAATTCGACCAAAAGTAGTCGTTGACTTCCTCTCGGAAAAGAGAATGGTCAACGACTACTACTTAATGCTGGTCTACTATTAATATTTGAAAAGTGATCCGTGTTGGATCGATTGTGATGACCTCGCATGTCATCGAAGTTGCTAACTTTAATGTCCAAACGAATTGATATAAGACATGTTTAAATAAAAAAAAATCTTGTAAAATGGGAGAATAATTGCCTTAATGTATTAATAAAGTGTTGATATTTTTGCAACTGCTGGGTCAAATATGTGGGAAGCAGTTACCGGGAAATATCGCGTTTATAGAAAAATTATTCAGTTGCAGTTTGAAAAAACTGTAGACCTATAAATTTCCACTGTCTTCCCCTGTCTGTCTAACCTTCCTTAATCTTGAGAAAGGAGTTAGATAGACGAAAGTCGAGACCAGATATGGAAAACTTTTAGGTAGGAGGCCCAGGCCAAATATACGGAATTTCGATTTAAATTGGTGGTCACGTTCTTCAAAATTTTTCCCTGAGAACAGTTAGATGAATACCAGCACAACTCTGTTGCTAAAAGAAAAAGTATGACGTACTTTTTAGTAGTGGCAAAGGCACTACTAAAAGAATTAAAAACATTATGAAGAAAAATTGCAGTGCAGCATTGTGACAATGTCACAAGGGATCTGCCGAGAGGATTGCATCCCAAGAAGACTTAAGGAAAGCTGGACCCTATTTAGGTGATACTAACGTGAAGAAAACCCGGAAAACTGCAAGTGGCTGGTCAATTGCCATGCCCGAACCCACGACTAACTTACTACCAGTGTTCGGTGGTATATCCGATGGGCTATTGAAGGGCACTTATTAGAATTAAGAAAGAACCTTTCAGAAATAAAAAACCCAAGTTGATAGATATGAAAAATTAAATACTTATAGGCTTTTCACAAGTTTAAACATTTTGATTCCACGCAGGCAACATGCTATCTCAGTAGTGATATAGCGCATCTATTATGCGCTGTATCGTCGTCGCAATAATTAAATGAATATAATATATATATATATTTTAAATTATATCCTTTTTGTAAAAATTATATTTAGTTTATTTTGTTAAATATTTTGCCAACAGATGGTGTAACTCAGAAAATCGAACATAGATAAAAATTAATTGATTTATAGAAATATAATCGATATTGTGGGGTAACATGCACGGCATTATCTAAGTTAGAAGTATTTGAACCTAACTGCCGAGTTTAATAGTAATTGGTCGAACAGCCTAGGAATATATAGAGAACAAACAAACATCTTCAATTATGTATATAAATTAAAGATTAATAATAAGCCGTATGTTATGAGTAATAATCCCTATAAGAAACTGTTTATTTACTTTTGAATAACCGAACATTGGTTCTCAGTTGATGTGCCATGGAAAATTAATGTAGACGTTCAACACACTTCTCTTATGATGCCACAAAATTTTAAAAATTCATTTAAATATGCTAACTTTTCGTTTACTTTTTAATATTATTTGTAAATCAATATATATTTAACAAAGCTGTAAATTATTAATGTTACGTTTCGTTTACACATATAAAGACATCATTAATGCCACAATGGCTTATTACTGTGTCATCGAAACTATCAATATCATTTATCGTGAAAGTAAATAAAATCTTAAACTTACCCCAGTCTGTTGAAAGGGTGGCTGCTGCTGCACCTGAAAAAAATAATGCACTACATTTTTTACGTACTATATAAGAGATAATTTATACGATACACTGTCCTAATAAGAATAAGATGTTAGAGTGTTAACAAGTTAAAAAGTGGTGTGCACAGTGCTAAAAACAGAAAAAATAATGCAAAGAAGTGGTGCTAAAAATCAGGTTATTAAAATCATCTATCTTGAGTAAAAAGTTTTATTTAAATTGCAAGGTATATTTTACAGAAGTTATTCATTTTTATACTACTGTATACTATGCTTGGTCTTGACGTCATTGCGTTCCAGGACTTTTATAAGTCTGCATTTTTAGCAAAACTTTTCTCAAATTTTTAGGCAAATCTATCTAACTTATCTCTGACTGAGGAAAACAGTTGCCATTGCTTTTTCTTTTTGAAGACGCTTTCTTTCTAATTCAGTGATTGCATCCACAACGGTTGCCAGACAACCAACGGGACGGGCTGTACACTTGTAGTTTACATGGATGGAATGGAGCAATGAGATATAACTACTAGACGCTGAATCGGATAAAAGTTAACATAAAAACTAGCACTGCCGTCTGAAGACAAAGAAAGCAGAAGCCGTATGACAGTCTAAGGCACTAATTCCCAAACTGTTTCGATCCACTGCCCTCTTTGTTCCATAAAGTTATACACAACGCCCCCTAACCCATTTTCTCTTGTGTGAGAAAGGATTGGAAATATTCTTAGGAAAACTTTTCTATGAATCTAACACTTTGTGCCTTTACCGTACATTGTTCTCAACATCTGGAAACCATTAAACGCAATGTTTCCTTTCAGTGATCTCAATTTTGCCTTTGGTCACCGTTCAATACCCTGCCTTCAGCGCCCCCTAGATCTACTTATCGCCCCCAAGGGGGCGTTATTGCCCACTTTGAGAAACGCTGGTCTAAGGCAAGAAGTGCATATGTTGTGGGCAGATTGATGTGTGTTGACTTGCGGTAGCTATTTCTGGCGTAATTGCTATTTATTTAGACTAGAGTGTATGGAGTTGTCACAGGAGCATATAACAGAAATGCCACCGAGTTTTTGTGAAGTTAATTGCAGACACGGTATAAAAAATGATCCGATATCACGTTTTAACTGTAAGTTAAATATAGGCCTAGTTGCTCTGATACTATAATATATCGTCGGTTGGCGCGATCGAAATCTCGTAACTCCTTCTGAGAAATTCCTCGAGAGAAACATTACATTTCCTTCAGAAGTCCGTTATTACCATATTTTTATTTATGTATTAAACTACGTTTATCTCGGTACCTACGAGAGTTTACAAAACACAAGTGGGAAACGCGTTTCGTTATCCACTAATGCTGTAATTCAAATTTGAGCAAATATTGGAATTAATACATTTAGTTCGCCAACCGATGATATGGTATCCTTTTTTGTACGTACAGCGATTACACGATGGATATTTTGTCGACAGGTTTCCTAAAAACAAGCAATACTTTGGTCGGTGGTTGACAGCGTCACGACGTGACAAATGAAAACCAAACAATAGTAGTGTTCTTTGCAGTCGGCACTTTGAACCTAACTTTCTACACACAAAAACGATACACGTATTTGCGTGAAACATCGGTTCCTACACAGTTTGATTTTCCTCGGCATCTACAGAGACAACCAGTAGTGCCACGAAAACCACAAAGGCGAATATCTTTAGCTAACACAGATAACGATACCCAACGAATTGATAATATCTGTTATGAGCGGAGTATGCTACAACACGATGAAGTTCAAATGCCTGATCCACCACATCTGATATTCAAGCTCATCGTGGTGTTTCTGTAAGACAAACTTGTCCATTTTAAAGAAAGTATACCAAACTTGTCCATTTTAAAGATCACTAAATTATGTGTATTCATGAGTTACTGCATTTCAAAATTATTCATATGATGATGCCCATAAATTACGTCCGCATTTCTCATGAAATATTTTATTCCTCCTCCCCTCTCGTCCCATTTTTTATTCTTTCCACCCTTCTCGTTTCTTTGAATAAATTCACTCAAAGCAATTTGTCTGAAGCTAAAACTATCTATGCATGTCATTTTTGCAATTTCATCATCAACAGATTTTCTAGTTAAATATTGTTCTAAAGTAGTTTCATTCTTGTTAGAGTTACTGGCTTTATTTTTGCATCTATACTATGAATTTTACTCACGTGCGCTTTCAAACTAGGTGTTGAACCACCAGCCGATTTCAAAACTGTGTGACACTTTAGACATTCAGTTTGTTCTTTAGTTTTTCTTAAAAAAATACTGCCACACGTTTGATTTTCTTTGCTTTATGATGGGTAATCACGAGTGTCTTAAATGTAAAGAAAGCACTAAAACGTATTTAAGTAAAGTAATTGAGAAGTGATAGAATTGCAAAATATAAACGCGTTCTTCGTGATTAATACTAAGCATAAATAACTAGGCTCCACTGGTGACTTAGCATTGTTGTCAACTACCGAATACCAATGTATGCTTGAAATAAAAAATTTCTGAATAAGTTAAAATTACAATATTTTTATTTATTTTAACGTAGTTTTGGATTTTTTACTATAAATAATAGATTTTAATTTAATTTAATTACATTAAGATTATTTAGATTTTAATTTAATGGATTTCGGTTACTATTNATTTTGTCGACAGGTTTCCTAAAAACAAGCAATACTTTGGTCGGTGGTTGACAGCGTCACGACGTGACAAATGAAAACCAAACAATAGTAGTGTTCTTTGCAGTCGGCACTTTGAACCTAACTTTCTACACACAAAAACGATACACGTATTTGCGTGAAACATCGGTTCCTACACAGTTTGATTTTCCTCGGCATCTACAGAGACAACCAGTAGTGCCACGAAAACCACAAAGGCGAATATCTTTAGCTAACACAGATAACGATACCCAACGAATTGATAATATCTGTTATGAGCGGAGTATGCTACAACACGATGAAGTTCAAATGCCTGATCCACCACATCTGATATTCAAGCTCATCGTGGTGTTTCTGTAAGACAAACTTGTCCATTTTAAAGAAAGTATACCAAACTTGTCCATTTTAAAGATCACTAAATTATGTGTATTCATGAGTTACTGCATTTCAAAATTATTCATATGATGATGCCCATAAATTACGTCCGCATTTCTCATGAAATATTTTATTCCTCCTCCCCTCTCGTCCCATTTTTTATTCTTTCCACCCTTCTCGTTTCTTTGAATAAATTCACTCAAAGCAATTTGTCTGAAGCTAAAACTATCTATGCATGTCATTTTTGCAATTTCATCATCAACAGATTTTCTAGTTAAATATTGTTCTAAAGTAGTTTCATTCTTGTTAGAGTTACTGGCTTTATTTTTGCATCTATACTATGAATTTTACTCACGTGCGCTTTCAAACTAGGTGTTGAACCACCAGCCGATTTCAAAACTGTGTGACACTTTAGACATTCAGTTTGTTCTTTAGTTTTTCTTAAAAAAATACTGCCACACGTTTGATTTTCTTTGCTTTATGATGGGTAATCACGAGTGTCTTAAATGTAAAGAAAGCACTAAAACGTATTTAAGTAAAGTAATTGAGAAGTGATAGAATTGCAAAATATAAACGCGTTCTTCGTGATTAATACTAAGCATAAATAACTAGGCTCCACTGGTGACTTAGCATTGTTGTCAACTACCGAATACCAATGTATGCTTGAAATAAAAAATTTCTGAATAAGTTAAAATTACAATATTTTTATTTATTTTAACGTATTTTTGGATTTTTTACTAATGGATTTTAATTTAATTTAATTACATTAATTAAATTAATTACAATTTAATTTAATTTAATTACATCTAAATAATTAAACGTTTAAAAAATTTCAAAATGAATCACACTGTAATGTTTAAAAAAAATAAAAAATTCAAAATGAATATTGAAACTTCATGCGAAGAATACTAAAAACCAAACATTATAAACTGTATTTTTATACATTTTATGATGCATATATACCATGCTAAAGAGCAAATAAATTAATTTTATCTAATTAAATTAATAATACAGGAAATAATATTTAAAAATTATTTCATTTATGTATTCCTGATATGTTTTACGAATACATTTAAATTCGGAAATTGTATTATATACTGATTAAAATTTATAACACTATTACATTATAATATGAAAACCAGTGTTATTATTGTTGTGTTTTACTGTTCCATTCAAATTGCAATAGCAAAACAGATTGTATGTTAATTAATTAAACTAAATTAACAGAATAGACCTATATTTTAATGTTTATTTATTTATTTTTATTTATTTATTTATTTAAAACATTTATTTATTTGATGTAGTATTTCATATAAATATTAACGTAACGTTGTAAAACAAAACATTCTATGACATTAATTCAAATACTCAAGATATAAAAGAAGTCTCATTTCCTAGAAACCAAACTCTATATTCTGCATAAGTTATTAGATATCTACTTTTTAAGTCTAATTGTTCTCATCTTGAAAATATAAAAAATTTAAAAGATATGATCCTAAAATGACTGCTTGAAGACCATAAATGTACAAATTGTATAAGTTTAATTTGTTAAACGTTACCTATAAATAACAAATAAAGTCTGAAAAAATAAAAGTTGACATCCACTGACAAATAAAATGAACAACAAATAAGTGATATACAGTATATATAATATTTACTATCAGAACTATTAATATAATTTATTATGAAGATAAACAAATTCTTAAACCTACGTCAGCTGGTACAGAAGTTTCATGCGCCATCTAAAAGAATAATATATTAATTTTTTTATGTGCAATATGAGAGAAAACTTATGCAATCTATAGCACTATTACTAATAAAAAAAATTAATTTATTACTACTCTAAACATTAAAACATTTTAAATTTATGTTAACTATATTCTAAATATGCTTATTTATTAAACATTAAGATGATTTAGGTAAAACCAGGTCACCAAAAGTGTTCTGGTTAGGATAATAATTTCATACTTATTAGTTTACTTATTTTATTCATATTTGTACAACATTAATAGAATAATAAAGTAAAACAATTTATTAAATTCTAAGAAATGAAACTTCAAACATTTTATTTTCGAGTTTTACAGTAACTTCTTTTATTGTACTGTTATGCTCACTGCAGTAGACTAATCTCATTGTTATTTACTGCAGATGTTTATTTACGAAAAGAAGCATTTTTTTTAATGTGAAGTGTTTCGCATTCGTCGAGGCCAAACTTCATGTGAATGTTTGTGTAATTAACGTATGTAAATTCAAAGAGGATTTGGTTGTGTTCGTGAATGAGGATACATACAGTTCGTTCTCTATGTAAAGTACTGTACATAACGTGAGATTATATATTGTATATTATGTTGTTTTGCTGTGTAGTTAGATGTTTTATTCGTATTTTATGTTGTTTAATTAATTAATATTATAATTTTATATCTATTATAATTTTATTCACATTACTAAGAAATAGCCAAAAATTTTACACATACAACTGCGAGGTTTGCCGATTGGGGAAAAAGTGTCGCGACAGTCGAGCGGTCAGCACTGTCGTGTGGGAGTGGAAAAACTTACTGAGACAGGTCTTCCATCGCAAACTATTTATTAAATATAAAAATTTCTCTTACAACTACTGTTTTCTTCGGCGTAAGGCCTATCCACAGAGTGAATCAGTTCAAAGTTCAATCTTACGATCTTCTCTTCTTTTGGCGAAGATGATGAGGAAAACGTAGGCTCCGGGGTGCACAGCACAACTTGAAGGGGTGATTCTCACAGTAGATTATCCTTGGCGAAAGTTGCTGGGACAGGATGGCGAAAACTTCTTTCGGGACGACGAACCGCAGGAAAAATCCAGAAGCGGAGCACACCGAACTTAGTAACCAAGAACGTCACATCCTATTTTTGCGCGATTTTTATAAGTTTTTCTGAGTCCCAGATCGAACATTCCGATAGGTCGATGTCGATCTGCCCCCGTTCTCTAATTGGTCTCCCTCCTCGTTACAAATTGTAACGGGATCGGAGCCCAGATCGCGGGGTGAGTCAACTCCGATTGACAATTTGATTCCTATCGAAGACGCTCGATCTAAGTACTCAAATTCATCTATTGTTTCTTTCTGAGAAATTCGTTTTTTCTCAGAAATTTCTACAGATATGACTTTATATGGACATGATATATTCACCTTGCGTTAGACGGTTTCTTTTTACAATATATATTATTATAATAATAAAAAAACATTTTTTTTTATACGAAATTAAAACATTATCTTGCGCGAATTTCGACCTACTTCCGGAGCCTCACACAACCAATAATTCACAAAATGTGCAAAGCGACGACAATAAAGACCCCATATAATATAAACAAATCACACGCTTTCCATACTATAAAATATTCACATCTTGCGTCAAAATGCAAAATATACTAACATATAGAACAGCACAATATTCTCATAACACAGCACAATATTCTCATAACACAACAAAAATACTCATGTAAACTACATAGGATACCAAAAACAATTCATAGCATTTCATACTTATTGTTACTGCATACACTAAATCTATACAAAAAGTATCAACACATTATATTTTTAGAAAACACAATGGAGAAAAATGCTATACCTCAGACATTACAACATATATATCAAAACAAATCACATAACATTAGATTAGACGAAACATTTTCCAGATAAAATCATTAAGTTTTTAAATTATACGTGGACTAATTTTTTTTTCAAGCTCCGATGGTCCATAAAACAAAGACAACTATAAAGACAAAATGAATTTATTACCAAAAGTTAGGTACAAACATGGTTACTTTTCGACATAATCACTTTAAGATTGAAGCATTTGTCATATCTATAGACGAGCTTTGCAATCCCCTCTTCATAGAATGTTGCTGCCAGTGACTTGAGATGGGCCTTAACGTTGTTTTGAAAATTATTAGTCTTGAACCTCTGCCCTCTTATCCACGTTTTCAGTTCAAAAAAGAGGTGGAAGTCGCTCGGCGCTAAATCGGGGCTATACGCTGGGTGTTTAAAAAGTTCCAATCTGTGTGGAAGTCCTCACACACCTTTAATGTGTGAAGACTTCCACCTCTTCCCTGAACTGAAAACGTGGCTAGGAGGGCAGAGGTTTGAGACTAATAACGATCTTCAAAACAACGTTAGGGTCCATCTCGAGTCATTGACGAAAACATTCTATGACAAGGGAACAGATATAACAAATTCCTCAATCTTCACGATGATTATGTCGAAAAGTAACCATGTTTGTACCTAACTTTTGGTAATAAATTCATTTTGTTATTTACACCTGTCTTTTTTTTATGGACCATCGGAGCTTGAAAAACAGCCTACGTATAAAAGTATTTGGATAAATGCCCAGAGCTCCTTTTAGAGTTCAGAGTAGGATACCCCCTATGAACGCCTCTGCCCCCATAAAATGACTTGGTATTTAATTTTGCCGAAGTCGGGAGTCGAGTGTTTTTTTTTTATCGACTCCGCAGCCCTGTTTGTGGTATATGGGATCTTCAGTGTTGTCACTGCATGTTTTGTGAATTATTGGTTGTATGTGTAAAACATTTGATTATTTCTTAGTGCAGAGATGTAAATTTTTTGTACGAGAAATTGTATTATCTATACCATGTGTTTTGTACTGATTTTGAATGTCGTGTATGTTTTTTTAGTAGGGACATGATTATTATATTTTATATGCCTGTATACAAGCTTTTGTTTGCTGAAAGTATTTTGATGTTTTCGTAGTGTACAGATTTGTATAATTTGTGTCTAGCCTACAAGTTTTTGTTTGAGAGTATCAGCGTGCATGTGCATTATGCTGTTCATATTTGTGTGTGTTTTAATTTTACTCAATATTTTCTAACCTCATTTCATTAATTTTTTGTTTTGTTGTTTTTAATGCATTGTCAGTTTACGTAATTTATTTTCTAACGTCCTTTATTTGCATTTTTAGTGTTACTTGTAAAAAAAGTTGTCTATTTTTTCATTGTCTGTTTGTAGATATATTTTAAAGCTATTACATTACCATAGTGACCACACCAGAAGAAACTACTGTGTGTTGAGGGTCTCAGGGTGTTGAATCTGATTGAATATATTATGGTGATGTGAGCACATTTAAATAATGTAAGATTTCTTAATAATTGGTGGAAACTATTACATTTGTATATATAATTTGTCATTTAAAATACTGTACGTAAAGTATTGTTAAGTAAAAAGAAATTATTAAGATAATAACTCGAATTAATTGATAAATCTCGAGAATATACCATTTTCATAAATATTACTTTTGTTATATTAAATAGTTTAAAATATTATTTTAGATATTATTGTTCATTAGCGTACGCTTGACCACTTTCAGTGGCTAATCGGTCATTTTGAATCTCGTTAGCACATTTTCGGATGATGAAAGCTTAGAATCATCTTACTGTAACTGGCAACCAGAAGTTGCTGGAACAGTTAAACTCTTGAAGTAGTAAGATCTTACCAAGTTTCAACAACATTCTTATCAACTGACCCTTTGCTTTCACTCTATCTCTGTTTTCATACACCTTCACTTCATATCTGCAAGGCTACTAGGCCGCATAAGGCCTAGTACCACTATTCATCCCCTTATTCTGTCCTTAGACAACTATATCTATGAAATCTCGTAGATTCCGCAACGCCGATACTGACAATCTCCCTGTGTTTTGATATTTGTTTGTATGCCACTGTTCTATAATGTAGTTCTTTTTTTCTATTTGTTAGTATGAATAAAAATTTGGAAGCATCCGTTGAAGATCTCGGTAAGGAAACGGCTGTCGTGCAAGCTTATTCAGACTGGTCCATATCTAAGCCATTTAATTCCCTTAGCTTAGGGAATGCAAATCTGGCGTGCACATTGTTCCTAACGACTTGTGGTATCGTAATATTAGTGAATGAATTTCCTTCAGCGAAAAGCGATATGAAGAAGTAAAAGTTGCAATTGGAACAGGAGTGAAAGGAATGAGCAAGCTCATTGGATAATGTCTAATTAAAAATGCCAGCGATAAATTCCGGAACAGTGAATTATTGCAATATGATCGTAAATTTTGTTGATAAATGTAATGCAATGAATCCCGTTTTTATTTCTGCAATAAAATAACTTTACAAAGTTAATAATAGAGATAAGTTATTTGTTTGATCACTCTACATAATTTATCATTAAAATAGACGAAATCTTAAACTTATGCCAGAATTTGGATTACTCTGACTCAACTGAAAAAACCATATACTATGAATAATTCTATAAGGAAATTTTTATTTAATATTTGAATAACCAAACAGCGGTTCTCAACCGATGTGCCATGGCACTCCAAATTTTAAAAGTTTATCAAAAATATTAATATTTTGTTTACTTTATAATATTATGTGTAAATATATATAGCTTATATAATTAACAAAGCTATAAATTATTAATGTCGTATAATTAAAATGCCTCAATGTCTTTTTCTTACTAAAATATAAATTTTCGTCTACAAGTACGTATCTTCTAATATCAGGACTTATACTGGCTTTACAGATAATGCTACAGAGTTTCACAGAAAACCATTTTTTATTTTATTTAATATACCTGTATATACAGGTATATTAAAATTATCTGTAAAATAAAAAATGGTTTTCTGTGAAACTCTGTAGCATTATCTGTAAAGCCAGTATGTGAGAGGCAAATCGCCCCTGTGGTTAATTATCAATTTAATTAAATAGTTAAATTTTTGACGAAAAATATTCGTTGATTTGGTGGGAAAATTATATTTTCTAAAACAAAGGAAACTGGAAAAGGTCACTTCCTTCAACGGAAGTTGAAACATCCTTTTGTTTTCCCTTGTCTACTAAAAATCTTAGTCACCCTGGGAATTGTCAACCCCTCGATAAATCCCCTTTTCCTCTGTTCACGTGAAAAATACGAAATGCTGATTGGAGAAAATTCATGAGAAAAAGAAAAAATTTTGCATGATTCGGGGAGTACGCCAGAAGATCTCATAGAACACGGACGTATTCCATATCATTTCCTGAAGGTCAACGCCCAAAGTCGAATCTAGAAGTTTCTATAAAATGAGTTTAAGTTAATAAATAGGGAATAAATTAATTAAATATGTGCCATTGATGAACCAAGAACAAAGAATAGTCATATTCATCTAAAGAACAGAAGAAGATAATTTAGAGGTAGTATAATTTATGATAGAAATTGTGAGCTCTCTCTCTCGAAACAGCTTTATTCGAAGTTCTTGAAATCGCTTTATTTGCATATTTAATTTTGTATTATTTTGTTTATTTTGTTCATTAAATTTTTGTGTTTATGTGTTGAAGAAATGTCTTTTCGATAACTGAATCAAACACATTTCATGATCTTTTTCTCGAAACAATACGCGTGTTATTCCGCGTAATATAAAAGCGATTAACTGNCGGGAGTACGCCACAAAATTCAAGAGAAGGAAGACGTATTCCATATCATCTCCTAAAGGCCAACACCAAAAGTCGAATCTAGAAGTTTCTATAAAATGAGTTTAAGTTAGTAAATAGGGAAGAAATTATTTAAATATGTGCCATTGATGAACCAAGAACAAAGAATAGTCATATTCATCTAAAGAACAGAAGAAGATAATTTAGAGGTAGTATGATTTATGATAGAAATTGTGAGCTCTCTCTCTCGAAACAGCTTTATTCGAAGTTCTTGAAATCGCTTTATTTGCATATTTAATTTTGTATTATTTAGTTTATTTTGTTCATTAAATTTTTGTTTTATATGTTAAAGAAATGTTTCTTCGATATCTGAATCAAACACAAGTCCTCATCTCCTCCATGAATCAATACGCATGTTAATCCGCGTACCATAAGTTTGATTTACTGGTGTCATTATCCTGATGTTGGATAGAGACTTCGCCGTCTATATCCTATTTAATATCAACAGCCCNAAATGTCTCTTAGATATCTGAATCAAACACAAGTCCTCATCTCCTCCATGAATCAATACGCATGTTAATCCGCGTACCATAAGTTTGATTTACTGGTGTCATTATCCTGATGTTGGATAGAGACTTCGCCGTCTATATCCTATTTAATATCAACAGCCCTCCTAGAAAAAGTTTAGAGATCGAATCTCGCGATTCTGAGTCGTGTAAGTGGTACTCTTTGTTAGTATCTTCGGCTAGTCTCACACAGTATAATAAGTCCTGATATTAGAAGATGCGTACTTTAGACGAAAATTTATATTTTATTAATGCTTTATTTCATTTATATTACAAGGACATCATTAGTGCGACAATGACTTTTTACTGTCATCAAAAATTGTTAGTATGATTAAACATCTTTAAAAAGTTGAGAACCCCTGACTGATGTACTGAATAATAAATAAGGGTTATAAGATTTACTATCAAAATTATTAATATCATTTATATGAAATAAAACGAAATCTTAAACCTACCTCAGTCACTGCATCACGTCCGCTTTCCTGAAAAAATATTATTATAAATATAAGTAATTATTTATTTTGACATCGTCACAATGACGGGCTGCAATTTTTAATCATATTCATATGTATTTTTATTCATATTTAATCATATGTATTTTAATTTATTGAATTTAAAATACATGCTCTCCACCTCAAATTAGTAATGGCTTGTTCTTGTACATCATACTTTAATAATACTTTAATAACTCTCCTTTAATAATAGAGTGGTGCCGGTCTTCCATCCTATACCTTTCAGGGGATCCTATATTTTTGAATTGAAATAACGTGCTTTCCGGTTTGTATCGTAAGTTCTCGTATAGTTAGTTAATCGTGGCCACCTGCCCCTGTTGTTTCCATATCTGGTCTCGTATTTCACCTATCTTACACCGTTCTGGAGATTAAGGAATAACAGACGGACAAATGACAGTGGGAATTTATATTAATATATTAAATGTGCATGTAGAATGCGTTCGTGCATTCTGCTTGCTCATTTCTATAGTAAATCACCCATTTTCATTCTGCTACGATAAATTTGAACTAGAACGCTTACTTTCTCAGTATATAAGAAATAAGATATGGCCAAGTTTTCACCCAGTACGTGATAAACTGGCCAAATTTAAAGTTTAAAGCTTTAAACCAGGTTTAAACAGAACGTACTAATTAACTGGACTGTTTGGAAGTTAACACAATAGACAAGAGTACCTAACAAAGAAATGAAATATGCTAATCATTAAGGATGCACCGATAAGCAAAATGGTCGATTACCGATTACCGATTAATCGGCCATGCATTATCGGCCGATACCGATTAATCGGCCGATTAGTGTTAATAATTTATTGCATTAATAGTGTGAGATCCTGGAGTTAATTATACAGTTAATTATAATGTGGAAAAAATCCATTTTTCTCCACTTGGTATTTCCATCTCCCTTGGGTCAGGTAAACAAGAGACGATCGAATATCCTCGCAAAATCAACAATCTCTTCCTTTGTTTCTAAAATAAATCTCAACACTTAATTGTTGACGCATGGAAACTTCGACATTGTTTAAAAAGCTGAAGTGTTTCTGTGTTTAACAGAAACAAAATATATTTCTTTAACCGCTGATATTTGGACAGCAACTACAAACAATTCTCCTTTTTTAAGTGTAACCGCTTACTGTTGAAGGATGATTTTCGGCAGGAAAGATCTGTTTTGCAAATTGTTTTTTTGAAGGTTCCCACACAGCTACACGAATCAGTGAACAGTTAAAAATTGTTCTTGAATAGTATAAGTTGGCAAGTGATAAGATATTCTTAGTACTAAGAGATTCTGCAGCAAATCTGGTAGCTGGAATTAGGAATTGCAACTTAGAAGCATTATCATACGCTGCAGCTTTTTCTAATGCATATTTCTAAACAAGATGTGAAAACTATAATCACAGTTAATAGAAATATTGTCACACATTTTAATCATTCTGCTGTAGTTGTAATCAAATTAGAAGATTTGCAAGAAAAGTTAGGTTTGCAGAAACAAATTAATTCAAGATGTTTCTACTCGCTGGAATTCTACATACTACATGTTAGAACAGCAAAAGGCCCTTGTCACATATACTATAGATAATAAAATTCCTACGTTGAGCCCATATCAGTGGTCTCTCGTTGAAAAAATTGTTCTACTTGTAAAACCATTCAAAGAAATTACTGTGGAAAGCCAGCAAACGAGAAGCCACTTCATCTTCAATAATTCCCACAATAGAGACTATGAAATTATTCTTATCAAAAGCAAAGAGCAATAGTTCCTTTAGTGGCATTAATACCACAACAGAAGAATTAGAAAATCCAATAAAAAAAGATTTTCAGCATATATAGAAAACAAGTCTTTATGCTTATCATTTTTATTAGATTCGAAATGAAATTTCAAAAAGAGAATATGCTAGAGAAAATCTCAATAAGAATTAAATTCTGAAGCTTCTACTTCTGGAGGTGATCAAGATGGAGGTGAATTTCTAAGTTTTTCTGATTTATTTCATGAATTAGCATCTGGTAAACGAAAGAATGAAGAATAGCATGTTTTTAAAAAGAAAAAAAAACAAAAGAGACGAACAAACGTTTCAATCAAGAATTAGAAACATATTTACATTTATCCCTAATTTGAGCAAAATAGCTATGAAATATTTAAGTGCCTCAGCATCTTCCATTGAAAGTGAAAAAATTTTCAGCACTGGAGGTAACATTTATGAGCCGGCAAAAAATAGGTTATGCCCTGAAAATGATGAAATTCTCATGTTTTTGCATTACAATTTAAGGGTTTTACAGTTTAAATATTAAATTTTTATTTGTTTTATATGTTTAAACTTTAAACTTATGAAACAAATAAAAATTTAATTTTTCTTCTTAACCTATTCAATACTTTTTCTTATGTAAAGTTTAAACTTTATATTATACGTTATATTATACTTATAATATGTATCGATGAAAGGAATAATTTGATTAGTAAAATTTTTTTAATATTCAGATTGTCGTGTAATAAATAATAAATATATAACAGAAATTTATTAGTTTTTATTACTAGCATTGTACGTAACATTCTAACAAAAATACCAAAATGTAGAATTGGCCGATTATCGAAACCGATTAATCGGGGGGAATGGCCGATACCGATTAATCGGCTAAGTGGCCAATACGGCCGATTACCGATTACTTACCAATTAATCGGTGCATCCTTACTAATCATTAAGGACCCTTTAATAAATAACATTGAGTATATGAGGTTTGCAACCTTTCAATATTTGTCACCAAGTGTAAGAGAGGTTAAACTCAGAAATTCGTGACACCAAGTAGGTTGAGCGTTTTTGTAGATGTCAATGACACAGTCTCGTACGCGAGACTGTGTCATTGCCGTCCACGAAAACGAGTGTCGACTGACGCTTTCTTAGAGTCGATCATGACACCCTATACCTCTATGGCACATTTCCTTCGACTCTTAGTCACCTCTGAGGAATTTGCACCTTTGAATACGACGAGGGACAGCTTACTATAGTCAGTCGCCACCCGTTCTTCAAGCTTTTAAGATCTGTGCCTGTATTCTAGTATCCATCTGCAGTTCCGTTCGTATGCCTTTTGTTAGATTCTGTGTGTGTGTGTATGCGTGACATTTGCATTTTTCGTCACCCTTTTAATTATGTGCTACTTATCTCCAACATCCCGAAGTTTTGCCTCAATGAGAAACGTTGGTCGACGTCGAAGACTGATTTTCTGTGCTCGCAACACTAGAACTCTAGTTCAAATTCAAAGGTACCAAAATTTGTAAACTCTCTTTCTCTGCGATGATAATGCGTGGAAACGCAAACCCGATGAAATACTTAGATATGTAACGTACTGTACGAATTTTCGTGCAGTCTAATAAATGTTTAAGAGTAATAAAGTGTGTTGAGTGACTCCTTTTAACTTAATCGCTTCATTTCCTACTCTATCCTCTTACCCCTAATCTCGCATACGATCCTGTGTCATTGTTTCCACAAAAACGCTCGTCTACTTGGTGTCACGAATTCTTGAGTTTAATCTCTCTTACACTCGATGAAAAGTATCGAAAAGCGCGAACCTCACAAGTATTTACATTAAATTGTATGACAAATTTTGATTTAAACAATCTTTGGTTCTTTCACATATCAACGAAGACCATTATTTTATTCGAGTAAGTACTAGACTGGCTTGTGATCGTCACCTCGACAGACTTTTATTAGTTTTCGTAAAACGTACAAACTTGCTCCATTTAATTTTCTGTCCAGTTTTAGAAATTTCAAAAATATTTTAAAGTTTACTGTTTCCTCTCGTATTTGCGAAAATGTATTTCAAATTTAAGTCTATCGTGGTTTTAAAAAATCCAGCATCGAGTTGTGCAACTCTCCTGGCTGTCATGAGATTTTATTTTTAAAAAATGACTTTTATGAATAAAGTTGTAAGTTTGCTATGAAATTTTATATTAATTGTTATAAAATAGCAAAAAGCTTAATTTTGAGGGGAAGGACGAATTTTCTAAAAAAAAATTGTAAATGCTAATAACGAATAAAATCTTCATTTAAGTTCAAACCCACTCGTGATACGACATATGACCTTCCTCTAACTCTCTATTTCCCTGACATTTAACCACCAAATTTTAAAAGCCTCAATGCCCATTACACCCAAGCTACCAATATCAAATTTTGTTTATCCCTAAAATAGCCTATGTTGACACATTGATAAAGAATAGCAATATTCTAGCCGTTGCTTTCCGGACTGTTATGTAGCCTATATAACACGGAAAAGTATTGGAATCACGTCATATTTGACTCTCCGACGTTTTTTGCAAAACTGTTTTGAAACCTCTTAGAGCCTGTACACACTAGGCGTTTTTCAACGCGCGTTAAACGCACGTTTAACGCCGAGCTAACGCGCGTTAGCTCGGCGTTCGTTAGCAAAAATATACTGTAACCAACCTTACTTCCCCTTATACACTGATAATTATGTATGAATTTTTTCTTATTGTAAAAGTACAATTAAATTTTTATATCGATATTATAATTTAATAATGTATACAGTGTAATTAATTAATATAACAAATTAAATAGTTTTTCTTAATATCTGGTGTGGTAGCTGATGAATATGACACTCACAATGATATTTTATAAAATCCGAAAAAACACATGAATATGTATTGAATGACACTATTACACAGGTACAATTAAAAACCTTAAAACAGTAAATATACTTATATATTATTACAATAACAATAACGTGGTGTCTTCTTACTTATAACTATACCTGTAAGGTATTTAAAACCGTATCGTGTACCTTAAGACGTTATCAGAATCCATGCAATTAAATTAAAACGACAGGTTTACAAAAAACATAGAACAATGATTTAATCATTTTTTAAAAAGGCTCATACATACATCATGTTTCCATTACGGTTTATCATATTTGTTAACGTTATTGTTGTAACACATGATTTTTCTGATTTATGTTAGGTATCTCTCTTTTTAAAAAAACCTCTGTCATATTTTTTACAACCACTGTAATCGCAATAACAGATTTTACAAGTTACCATTAAATAATTTAGCTAATTTTTAAAAAACAATAAATATATACCTAATGGCCTTTTTCTTTATTTTTTTACATTTATCCACAGTCTTACAATTCTCACCTTCATACAACACTCTTAATACACTTTATTTTTTAAGTCATGCCCTCTATTACATTATACTATTGTTCATCAATTTGTATGCCATTCGATAAATTCACTAAATTATTTTTACTATTTTTTATTATTTCAATATGTTTTTTCAATTTGCGTTTATATATTTCTTTTTCATAATGTAATATTTTTATGTTATTTCTGTCAATCCTGCAATTACTATTATTTGTGTCATCAAACCAAGGGAATTGTTGTATTTTAATTTTATAGCGGCTTCATGTTCTTTAATTCTCAATTATAATTGCCTACCTGTTTCACCTATATAATTTTTTTGGGGGTTAGACAATCACAACTTATTTTATATACTACTCCAGATTTTTTAAATTTGTCTACGTTATTTATATGTTTTATATTTTCAAAATGGATGTTGTGTCAGATTTTATTAGTTAAAGATGGGGCCAAAATTATATTATCTTCTTTTAAAATTTTACTACAATTATTATGTGTATCATTAATATAAGGAAAGGATTTATAAGTTTTATTTATTTTATATATAGTATTAAATCTATTTTTATAATACTGTTTATGCCACTTTTTAATTTATACATGGGGTAATTATTCAATATATATTTTTTATCTAACTTCTTTAATTCTGTTTTACAATCGTTATTATCAGAAGTTCTGGTATATATATTTTTTATATCCATCATGTAGGTGTTATTTTTTATGGTTTCAGGTGTGTAAGAGTAATTTTTACCCACTGTTATTGTTATTATAGTAGTTGTAAAAAAATATGGCAGAGGTTTTTTTAAAAGAGAGATACCTAATGTGAGATCTGAACGGTCAAGGAAGGATCATCTTAATCAAAATACAGAGTAGAGAAAAGAATTAAAATTACAGAAAATAATATTTTAAACTTTCACAAGATTTGATCTAAAAAACAGAGGAAACATCAGATTTTTGAAAGAAAGTTGATTTTCTTTCCCAGGCTAACTCAGGATGAGTCGAGTTTTTGCACACGTTACGGAAGACCGAATAAAAGGGCCGTTTTCCCGCCATTCGACGCAGTCTATCGAAACAAGGTTTGCCATACGTAAGAATCTGATATACGTTAATTAATTTAAGAGGCAGTCCGTTAGAAAAAGGTTTCCACGCAAGAAGTCCAACATACGCAGTCCGTCGAAGGAAGTTTGCCATACGAAGTAAGTCTGACATACAAAAGACGTTAAACTAAATGTACAGCATACAACAAGATTGTTGAAAGGAAAGTAGATACAAAATAACTTCTCAAATAAATTAGAAGAAGAGAAATACTTAAAGAAGGAAGAAGATCCTCATACAGAAACAGTTACGAAAAATACGGTGAAGGTAATATATCGATCGATATCTGAATAGATCGATGTAAACTTTCTCACGCGTTAGGTTAGAAATAAGATAGTTTAAGTTAGATTTAGATATAGGTTAGATTCATCGTTGTATATTTTTATTATCTGATTTATTAAATATTTTGATTTGTTTTATAAAATGGTTTGGTCTCTATTAGACATTCAATTTCATTCAAGTTTCCTTAGTTCCTTCGAATCCCGAGTTTAAGATAACGCGTGTTAATCCGCGTTTAAAATAACTGATTAACTGGTGTCAAGGAATCCTGACGTAGATCTAGACTTCACAGTCCAGATCCTTTTAAACATTTAACAGCCCTCCTAAAAGAAGTTAGTGAGCTGATTTCACGATCGTGTGCCCGTAAGCGGCGTGGACTTAGTTCTACGTCCTTGGCTTCTCACACCTAACATAAGTCAGAAAAATCATGTGTTGCAACAATAACGTTAACAAATATGATAAACTGTAATGGAAACATGATGTATGTATGATCCTTTTTAAAAAATGGTTAAATCATTGCTCTATGTTTTTTGTAAACCTGTCGTTTTAATTTAATTGCAGGGATTCTAATAACGTCTTAAGGTATACGATACGGTTTTAAATACCTTACAGGTATAGTTATAAGTAAGAAGATACCACGTTATTGTTACTGTAATAATATACAGTATAAGTTAATAATGTATATTTACTGTTTAAAGGTTTTTAATTGTACCTGTGTAATAGTGTCATTCACTACATATTCATGTGTTTTTTCGGATTTTATAAAATATCATTGTGAGTGTCATACAATTAGAAAAGAGCTCATATAGGCCCGAAATGCATTTGTAATTTGCAATAAAGGAGTACTTAACCTAATAGCTGAGAGAAAGGCTACCGTTTTTACTAATTCGGATTAAAGAGACACATACTAAATCTACAAATGAAATAGTTTAACAGTTAAATAAAGTAAATATTACAATAATGTAAACACTAAGATTTAAGAAGGATTTTAAATTCTAAATGGAAAAGTCAAGAACTGTAATAAAATCACTTACCTCACTTCCTTCTTCAGTCTTTAAAATAAAAATAAATTTATCAAAAAAATTGTCTAATTTTTAACATACAATTCAATAAAAATCCATTTTAAAACACTAGACAATAGTAATATCAATACATAATAGAATAATTTCTTGAATACTTATTTTATTGAGTAATAAAATTTGAGTAATGAATATTTTTCTCCTATAGATGAGAAATATTTTATGATAATTAATTTTATAAAAAGATTTTTAATAAAAATATCATAACAGATGGCATCAAGTAGCCCACTTGATACCATGTCAGGTTGACACTTGATGAAAAATAACATTTTATCCACGTCTGTAACATTGTGATGAAATACGGATAAACTGATTACATTTGAAATATTTTAATTTTTAATTTTTTCCGGACAATTTTTATTTAAATAGTTTCTCCCGCCACTGTTATAGCAACGTTTTCGTCTCCATTAGAATTAATAGACTTAATTTCATGTCCTTAAAGACCTTCCGGAAGGCATTATTCCCGCGCGTACTAGCCAATTACTAATACTATCCACTGAATTTTCACTTCCACGGGGCGATATAGTCGCTGTAGCTGATGCCTCACTTGTTATAACCGATAACCGATACCATCTGTCATTCACACCGAAAGTTTTCTATTATATATTAGGGGAGATCGGGGCAAGATCGGCATGTTAAGCTTTACTTAAATTTTGTGTAATAAATACTGCTATAAGCTGAAAAAAAAGCTTTGCATATTGTCTATTGGAATGTTACCTTACTATAGAACTGGCTAAAATCAGTTTGGAAATAAAAATAATTAAAATAATTACAACTTTACAAGAAGAGAGAAATTGACGAAGTTGCCCCGGGTATAGGGGCAAGATCGGCAACTTCTCTCTTTTTGTAAAGTTGTAATTATTTTAATTATTTTTATTAAAGTTGCCC